TATATATATAGATAGATAGATAGATAGATGAATAAAGGCACTTTACCGATGCATTTCGTCCACTGACGGAACTTTATGAAAGTAAGTCTAAAGCATTTTATTTTGCAACATGCATTTATAAACAAATAATCATTGGGTTTTCAAAATGTTTCGCTATAACAACGTTCTAAAATACTTTAAAGCTCTGTAAGCAAAGGTAAACTATGCAAGAAACTAAAAACCTAACGATATTTTTCACTTTCGTTCATAAATACATGTTGCAAAATAAAATACTTGGATTTTCCTTCCATCATAAAATCCCTATGGGGACGAAACACGTAGGCAAAGAAAAGTTTACATTTTGTTTTTTATCCATACTGGCTATTTGGCGGATATATTTGATTTATAACTGAATTAATATATAGCAGGACAGACTGAGTCTTATAGCTTTGGTTGGCAACCAATGTACTGTAATATGATATTGCAATCTACAGCGGAAAATCTTCTGCCGAACAAGACTTGATCGAAAGAAACAAGATCGTCCAATCGTGTATCATGTTGGCCCTTAACTGACAAAGGAATATGTCCACTTTCTGTAGACAATTCTATATTCTTTCACTACCGGGAGATATTGAGTTCTGACGTTATTAGCCAAGCTTCCTATAGATTATTCCTTATCCGTGTTTCAGGATAAACTATAATATGATCCTTCTTTGGGTGAACGTGCGAGTATCCCGATAAAAAAAATAATGGCGATGTTGATATTTTGTGTAAAAGCATCTTCCTAATTGCGTCTAACTTATATAGGAATGAAAACTTCACATATATGGAACACGATGAAGAGATCCTCGTAATAAAAACCGGACATAGAATTTGGGTGTCCTTGACCCGGTAGACTTTCGTTTTAAGGCTCTAAAGTTAAAGCAGCTGATTATCCTATGGGATAGTTGCTATAAGCGTTGGATATAAGACGCAGTTTACCTAGTGATTGGAAGTACAGTCCCTGAGCCAGACAGTCCTTGATTTGAATTAGCAAAAGTATTAACTAACATGAGCAGTAGGTTGACAACAGTCTATCGAGAAAGTTAAGGAAAACGACATACATTTGTCAAAGGCTTGATTATTTGACAAGTGTATGTCGTTTTCATTAACTGATGGACTGAAAGTGGACATATTCCTTTCAGTCAGTTAAGTGCCATACGTGATACACGCTTGGGCGATCATGTCTCTTTCGATTTATGACTGACTAGGCAGAAGATTTTCTTTCGAAATAGGTTGCCGTTTCATTCTGCGATAGAACCCAGTCTGTCCTTCTGTTCTCCCCCCACCTGCCCATAGCTGGGGGATAGGAGAAGAATGGATTCATCCTTTTCCCAAGGGTAAAGTGAATATAAAGAACCCAACCAGAATTCAAACTCTACTCTCCAATTATAAGAAACCACACCACACACCCGCACATATTCTTTTGCTTAAACTAAATTATCCCCGAAATGATTGACAGTGGTTTCGTCCTTCGACATTATTTTTAGAAATAGACTCAGTCAGGTGATATAATTGTGACGTGATAGGTAAAGAGGTAGTGTAGCTTTTGCATCGAAGGAACACAGAAGTTTTAATAAATGAATGGAATCAGTCATTCTTTAGGATCTAGGTTTTTTCTTGGATATTAATAAAGGTGCACGAAGAATATGTGAATTTCAGACAGATGTAAGAGGACCATGAAAATTGTGGGCGCCCACGGGAGTTAAAAGAACGCGTGACAAATAACAAAGATGAACATATCAGAAAAAAGTATTTCTAGTTTACCGGATTATCGAATTTCGTCATCGATCAACGAGGGTACTACCGCATTATTGCATACTCTTTTTTTATCTGTACCAATGATTGAAGAGACTGGAAGGTACAACAGCCGAAAGGAATATGATAGTTTAAATAGGGATTGTCTAAACGTAGCTTAGACGTATCACAAGGCCGAAAGTATGAAACACCCAGTGAGGATCGAACGCACTACTCAGTCGTAACTGATCTAGCTAGACAAACTTGCTAACTATGATATCAGGTTGAAGTGTTCATGAGATGACTTGAATAGTTGTAATTATAGTCATTATAATTTCCCTAGATTTTGTCTGAATTTTTGGGACGGAGAGTTATCATTATTTACATTATTTATATTCGTACTACAGTTCTCATCTTTGTTTTTGTGGTCACAACGTTTTGGCAATTTTCCCCCAGTCTTCCTCAGGTGTATGCTGATCTGAATAACTTACAGGACTGAAACGTTGTGATAACAACAACAAACATGACTATAGTACGAATAAAAATAATGTAAATAATGATAATTTCGCATTTCGAAAATTCCTAAAAATGGTGATTTTCTAAGCGCATATTAGATGTAGTACATGGCCGAAAGTATGGAGTACACAGTGAAATTCAAACTCACTATTATGTAGTAATTGATCTAGCGAGACAAGCTTGCTAAACATTACTCTACGTTGAAGTTCTTCGGAAATGATTTTCTAAGCGTAACATAGATGTGGTACAAGACTGAAAGTTTGGAGCACCCAGTGAGGATCGAACTCACTACTCAGTCGTAGTTGATCTAGCAAGACAAGCTTACTAAACATTACAGCATGTCGAAGTGATAAAATATCCATGTATCGCTTTGAGTTTTATAACGATTAGACGTCTTCTACGATCAAGTCGTATGTTTTTCTTTTTGAAACATTTTTGTTTATATAATTAACGGAGCTTTAGACACTGCCATGTATTTTTTCTAGATTCCTTGTTAGATCGTTGTTTTATAACACTTTTCATCGTTTTATTTGAGAGTTCTCTTGTTGGAGTCATATTTCCTTTAAGTTAACCAAGTCCAACAACTCTTTGCGATCTGCAATCACCCTCTTTCCAATTCAAACTAATTTTCCTATTTAAAATTTTGCTGGTATTTGTTTTAGAAATTAAAACCATGAGGTGATTCTATCCTTTCTCTCTTCAATGTTCAGATATTAAACAAAGATATTTGGGTTCATATCTGTAATTTGTGTATATGCTGCGAGGTAAAACTTTGAGTGGAAGTGCTGTAAGCGTGGCGTTTCTATTTTTTATTCTAATATTTTGATTTTTATATGTACTATTTTCTTTACCGTACATTGTAATATGGACAATTCTCCATCTTCGAAAATATAAGAAAGAAAAAATCGTATTGACTGACAATTAATACATCTAAAAAAACTGTTGGAAAGATAGATAAAAGAAGAGAGAGAGAGAGAGAGAGAGAGAGAGAGAGAGAGAGAGAGAACCAGAGGGAGAAAGACGACGGAAAAGTTGGGGAAGAGAGAAAGATAAAATAACAAATAGAAACGGATCAATTAATTCCTCGATATGTTGGATAGATAAGGAGGGATTAACGTAATCTGATCAGATGATAGGGTTTTATCAGTGCACCACGTCTCTACCGAATGTGGCACAAGGTCGAGGCTTAAAGTGGGTTTACCGGCAATATCGGGGGAAAATTGATCAAGCTTTTATCGGAATTTCCCTTTTTGGGGACGCCCCAGGAGCCAGGTAATAACCCCTTCCCCTCCCGAAGGGATGCTACCCTCTGGTTGAGCTAATGTTATTTTCAGCTGTCCTGGCAGAAACTAACTTTTGACGCCAGGTATGTATATAAACCTATCAGATGGTAAAAAAAGAAAAGAAAAAATACTAACTTAAATGAAACAAAGAGAGAATTTATTGATAGATTGAAACAAATGATTTAATTGCTGCTTCAATATAATAATATGAAATGATCAAGAAAGAAAACAATTGAGATGTATTTATATATACTAAAGTAGATTAAACTGGTTGCCAACCTTTTTATGCGGCTTTCCAAACTTGGGCTCGTCTTTTGTTTGTAAAGGTCTTGTTTCCATTTCCGTTTGCTTTAACCACACTTTTCGTCTGCAGTGTTCGTAAAAAGGCTTACAGGACAAGAAAAAAGACAACAACAAAAAAAGTATGAGACATTTTGCATATAAAATCTTTTCATTGTTCCAGATAACTTTTCATCATCAACAATGTACTGTTTACTGCTTCAGAATTGTTAAAAGGATTTCAATAATGGCAGAGAGAAAAAAAGAAAACAAAGTAGTGACGATTATAGATGCGTGCGAGTGCTGAACAGTTTTCGGTTCAACTCACTTCCCCGATTACGATCAAAGAAGTACCAGAAGTCTGCGTTCGATCGCAAATAAAGGAATGATGATTTTCCAGCAACATATACTCTCTTTATTTGATGCAAACTCTGTCATTTTCTCTATCTATTTCCCTCATATGATGAATATTCTAATTTCCTTTATACGTTTGAATGAATGTATTCACAATTTACTTCTGCCAAATAAATTATTTTAAGACTTTAGGAAGAAGCTTCAGATAAATTCTTGGAGCAACAATAAAAAAATAAATTCAACAGTTTGGTAAGATTGTGAGAAGCAGCTCATGCTGAGAATATTTCAGTACCTCTTGTAAAATATCTGGTAGCCAAATTCAAAATATATATTAATCCAAATTAGTTACATTCCACCATCGTCGATCGGACCCCGAACTACAACCCATCACGTTTAGCGGATGCTAACTCAGTGAGGCTCCTTGCCTTTAGAGACCATTGGGTCTTAAACTTATACATGACCTCAAGTGGAACTTTTACATCCATCCATAGTTAAAGATGCAGGAAAAAAGGTCGGTTCTCTGTACCGCTCACGTAAATACCTAACTCCTGCAGCTATCCACTAATTTAACAAGAACCAGATCAGGCCGAACATGGAATACTGCAGTCATATTTGGTCGGGAGCAACCCAGTCATTACTTTCCAGTCTCGATAGAGCCCCAAAGCGTCTCTGCTATCCTCTGCCTTCGTAAAAGCCAGATCAGGCCGAAAATGGAGTACTGCTGCCATATATAGCCATGAGCTGCCCAGTCTTCATTTTCCAGTCTGTATAGAGCCCAAAAGCATCTCTGATATTCTCTGCCTTTTTAAGAGGCAGATCAGGCCGAAAATGGAGTACTGCTGCCATATATAGCCATGAGCTGCCCTGTCTTCATTTTCCAGTCTGGATAGAGCCCAAAAGCATCTCTGATATTCTCTGCCTTTTTAAGAGGCAGATCAGGCCGAAAATGGAGTACTGCTGCCATATATAGCCATGAGCTGCCCTGTCTTCATTTTCCAGTCTGGATAGAGTCTAAAAGCCTCTCAGAGTCTTTGTTGCTGATAAGTTATTTTCCACCCTCCAATCTCTCTTTCACAGGCGGGACATGTTGAGACTCTCAGTGCTATCGCTACATCCATGGAAATTGCTCGGACGAACTGCATTCCTTGGTTACGCTAGTTCTAATATTCACAATCAGGACCTGCTATGCCACGTATATTGTAGCAAATCACTCTCATTCCATCCGTATTCCATTGATGAGAAGTAAGTTCCAATCGAGTAGCTTCTTCCCACGAACCACTACTCTGTGGAATCGACTCCCAAGAGGATTGTTTCCCGAGCAATCTTAACCTATGTTAACCGTTATCTTCCCCTTCTATTCGCATAAACTGCTTCTTACTATAGCCCTCAGCATCGCGTGGAAAACGGGTTTTGAACCTCACTGTAAAAAATAGAGAGGAGAAAGTTTTAACTTGCTATTTAAAATCAGTTTGGTTTGCTTTATTTTGTTTTACAATAAATCAACCTCAATGGGATATTTAATGCCAAAAATATTTTTAGGATAGGTTCGTATGAAAGGCATATATACTCTTTGTAAGAAATCTGTTTGTAGATCAGGTTTCATTGGTGTATTTTTGTAAAGAGGGTTTTTGTCGAGAGTCAAATGTATTGCTGGTAATATATTCTTTTCCAAAATGCATTGCTGGTATTTTTACTATAAAAATCTATTTTTATACTTTGATATTTTTATGACCCCAGTTTAGGAGTTAACTATTTGCCCATAGCTGCTACCACTCCGGGTCAGGGTCGACCTGGGAACAACCTGTAATTAAATTCTGGTTCCATGTTATCAAAACCTCTCGATTAGAGGCCTTGCTGCCGGTTGTAGTTTATCGTCATATCCAGGATTTTAAAATCAGTTTCATGATTAGAAGTTGTATATATCGTAATTAAGCTTTGTAATATTACACAAATACGTTTTTATTGATAAGCATTTAAAATTTGGTACAAAGTTCCACCGAATATATCGGAAGATAAAGAGCATTCAAAAATTTCAAAATGCAAATAAAATATTTACCAGACGACGTATAACATAGCAAATGAGCAGTGACATCAAAAAGGTCAATAATATTAAGATTAATGCGACGATGATCAGGTTTCGAATTCGGGGTGCGGCTTTGAAAATAGATAAAAATAAATATTAATTAACTATAGACATACATACACAAGTATATAAATCTACATACATACAAATCATTATTATACGCTATTTATATAGACACAAATATTTAAGTAAATGCTTTGTTTATAATAAACAGTATTAACAACATTTACCGGCTTGAACGTCCGAGAAATAATTAAAATAATTGTCGGACGTAGTCCATTTCGTAGTGTGATACATATATATTTCAGTTAAGTTTTTTAAATAGTTTCGACATGTTTATTAAAGTTATTGGATTTAAATTTAATTCAAACTGATCAATTCAAATTAATCATTTAATATTTGACAAATATTTTTTAAAGAAATTTTGAGTTATTGTGGTCTATAATATTTGCATAACTTCAGACGGACTGTATATATATATATATATATATATATATATATATATATATATATATATATATATATATATATATATATCACCCTATCAAGGCAAGTGATGATAAATATCGACCCTATCAAGGCAAGTGATGATAAATAAAAGCGAAATGATGTGTAGTTACATAAAATGCAAAATTAAAAAAAAAAAAAGAAAGATGCTCATGTATAAGCCTCATTCTGGATATTGATAACTTTTTACATTTTTCTACTAAGAGGTTGTTTTTGTTTTTCATGTCTACAATATTGTTAAATTTTTCAGAATGATTATGGACATAAGACAAATTAGATAAAAAAGTGAATTGTAAAATTTTTCTTAGTCCTTGCCGACCCATTTCGTCATTCGACTTTATCAATTTTATTTATCATCACTTGAATTGATAAATTAGAATGAAGTCGAATGACGAAACGCATCTGCAAGGACTAAGAAATATTTTCCAATTGTTTTTATCTATCTATCTATCTATCTATCTATCTATCTATCTATCTATCTATCTATCTATATACCATAGCTTAAAACAATATTTTCACCATATATATATATATATATATATATATATATATATATATATAGTAAAACTATATATATATATATATATGAACAAAGTAACTAATAAAAACAAAAACAGAATGTACTTAACAACTGGAATGTAGAGAAACGCTATTTTCATATTTTTAACTGAAAAATATTGTCAGTATTTGTCACGTGTGGAGAATATTGTCATTATATCTGTGTTTTTATTAGTTACTTTGTTCATTTAATTTCATTTTCGTATTTTGCTTTGATAAAGTCCACATTGGACGAAACGCGTCACCAATTACCAGTTTTCCTATTGTCATTTTTATTCATAAATATTGTCTTCTCTACTGGTTAAATAGGAGAAATTTTCATATATATATATATATATATATATATATATATATATATATATATATATATATATATATATGTGTGTGTGTGTGTGTGTGTGTGTGATAAAATTATAGTTGCCAATACGATGAAGGTGAAAGATATAACTTAAATTACGTATTTTAAATCTATTTTTTAATTTTAGCACATGCTACCTTTTTCTCTCTACCCTGTTTTGTACACATCCTTCTATTACACATACACACACACACACACACACACACACACACACACACACGTAACATTATAAGCCATAATAAATAAACAAGGAAATAAAAAAGCTTAAAGCTTTTGAATGCGTTCACATAACGTAGCGTAAAATTAACACTAAAATAATCCAACAAGTATTCACATATTCCGAATTTACATAGACCTTTGGAAATCTGGAAAATATAAGCGTTGATACAGCGCTTACATTTTTCTTCCTTATTTAATCTTAACTTTCAAGATACCCATCCTCCTCCTTGTCTGCCGGAATAGTTCTTTTTTTTTTTGGATAGGTCTTCCGTTTGTGTTTGGATAAGACTTCCACTTGCAATATACAGGCGGCACATAAAAACTGCAACACCCCGGATAAGTTATATCCTTCCAGTGCGTTATTAGAAACCTGTTCTTTCGCCTGCCAAAAGCTGCATATTATTCCACACCTCTTGCAATTGCAGTCATGATGAGAATATTGTGGGGCATGGACATTAGATACGTGGGCATTATTCTTCTGGAACAGTACATCACCCTCCTTTTGAGGGAATGTCAGCAAACGCATTGCACAGTAGTTTTGATCTTAATGTTGCTATTTAATATTAGCCCCACAAAGTCCAAAGATGAGTGAAAGTTCTCACGTATGGATCGCCATACCAAGGTTTAGGTGTGTTGTTAAGAGCGAATACACTCTCGTAGAAGTTTCTCCTTAGGTCAACGTCGCACACTCAATCGACCATCACTTTAAAAAAATGAACTGAAACAAAGCAAGGCAGTAAATTAACTAAGACAAGGAGTTACCGAGTGTGGATGAATCAAGAATCTAAATGAAATGCCAATCGTCATCTTTTGTTTCTTTAATTGTCCTTTCTGTTTCTTTCACTGTCAGTAAATCCTTGCATCCTTTTTGTCTTACTTGGGGTGAAATGATTAAAAAATAAAATAAAATAAATGATCTCAAATGATCAGTGTTGATACACCTGTGCCCATATTAACTCTGGTCTGTGATTTATACACCGCACCCTGTCGTTCTATAATGTCCCGGCACGATCACCGAAGTTAAGCAACGTCGAACCTAGTCATTACCTAGATGTAAGTTTATATGTGCGTATTGTGTAATGGATAATGGCTCGGAATTGTTAGTCGGAGAACCGAGTTCTAGTTCTAGTAATGTTTGTTAGATTCACCTACCCACAATTACCCTTGAGAAATATATGTATCCACCTCTTCTTCCCGCAACTATGGATTATTTAGTAAGCCTTGTATCACTGAATCATTATTATCTCCCCAAAAGTGTTACAATTTAAAAATAACACTCATTTATAGCCTTAAATAACCTGCAAAGATTTGATAAGCTGTAGAAAATGAATAAATGAATCAATAAATATACATATTTATTTACTTGTACGGTAAAAAAAAATGTGGCGATATTTATTAAATTTTGCTACATGCAAAAGAATCTATGGTGGATAAATAAGATGTATATTTTCACTTACATGCTATCATAATTATCACAACCAACGAGGTGAACATCCCGCAGAGGTTCTGAAATAAAAAAAAAACATGGTTAAAACTCAGAAAATATAAAGTAATGAAGACATCAAGAAAAGGATGTGAGAAAATGTTTTTTTTTTTATATTTTAATTGCTGAAGTAAACGCGACAAACAACTCAATCGAAAAAAAATAAATAGACAGGCTGTACATAAAGTCTCTTTAAAATTTAAAAAAATGGCTACAAAAGCAAATGAAGAGACACATATGTGGGAAATTGTTACAAAATGAGCAGTAGATATTCTTCAATATCTACTCTATTTTTTTAAACTAATTAAATACACCTCTATATGGGCACCATTATTTTCACGACGCACATAATGACGGTACTCAATTTCTTGCCATGTTCGCTGTAACATTACCACCATCAGTGGTGGTAATGCCATCAGTGATTTGTGGTTGTAGATAAGTGATGTCCCGTATCTTTTTTCAATACACGATATCTTTAACATAACCACATAGAAAGAAGTTCAGGGGAGTTATATCTGGTGAGCGAGGTGGCCAGGGAATTGAACCATCTTTTCCAATCCACCGGCCTTGAAATTCACATTGCCGTTTTCATCAAGAGGATACCTGAAAAGAGGATACCTGATAACTACTGACTACATAGAACAAATCTGATTAAGATATCTCAGTTGTCTTTGTGATATATTTTTTAAATTGTAAAGAATCTTTATAGATACCTTGTTTAATAACAATTTGATGGATTGACTATGAGAAAACGCAAGATGATTTAAACATGAATTATAAAAGGTGTTTCATTAAGACGGATCAAAGTCAGCAGTAAATAAATTAGTGATATTGGTGAAGATTTATTTATTTTTCTACTGGATAATGTTATTTAAGTCATGACAATTATGCGCAAAAAATAATATCGCCTAAATGGCCACCAAATCTGAAAGAAAAAGAAAAAAAAATCATTAGACGCTTAAAATTAATTCACATTTAAAATCGGTCCAAGTTACTTGAACACTCTCTAGAATGCCTATGAATGAAACAACTGCTCCATTAATCTTTAGAAGCAAGCTGTTACATTCATATTTGGTTTTATAAATAACTAAAAAGACTTAAGGATACATCACATTAAAACACTCGTTCCGTAAGATCATCGAAGTTATGCAACGTCGAGCCTAGTCAGTACCTAGATGGGTGACCGCTTAGGAATGCCACGTGTCTTATGCTTGGATGCGTGGGTGGTGTAATGGATAATGACACGACATTGTTAATGGGAGGGCCGAGTTCCAATTCTAGTTGGATTTGTTATATTCACTTCCACGCAAATACACTTGGGAAAATTATGAACCCACTTCTTCTCCTCCCAGCTATGAATTAATAAATAAGTCTTGTATCACTAAATCATTATTATAAAAAGATCTTAAAATTTAAAAGTATTTTCTGGCTTTAAATAAGCTACCTGTTGATAAGCCATAGAAAGCGAGTCAATCAATTAAATACTGATTAGCTACAAAGTCATGTTTTAGATTTATATGCATTTAAATGGACAGAAGTTACCGTGGCCACAAAATGAGGGATCAATTTATATATTGATTGCAATATAGAATTTATACCCCACTTTATATCCATATTATAATTTCTTCTTTTTATTATCAAACTCTGTTTAGGCATGGATTCACCTCTTTTTCCTTTAGCTATGGGTTAATTAGTAAAACTTGTGCCGCTCAATCATTATCCCTAAAAATATTATTACAATGCCAAAATATTTTCTGGCTTTAAACAACCTGCAAAGGGTTGATAAGCCATAGAAAATGAATTAATAAATCAAACTTAACCAAAACAAGAAAAACAAAATGAGTACCTGAGAAATATCTTTACAACTAATTTTCAATTAATTATCATATTTACTAGGATATCCGTGCCGTCAAAACTGACGGCAAGAAGGAATGTATTATAAGTAATTATAATGTATTGTAAGTAATTTTCGTTCAATCAAAGCACAATTTTTTTCTGTGTAACAATTGAGGGGGAGGGTGCAAAATGACGATAACCCACCCACCCAAATTCAAGTTATACTTGTATTTGAAAAGATAAAAAAAGAACTTTAGTTAAATAAAAATTATGAGAGACAGAGTTACGGGCAACATTAGTCGTCTTCAATATTTGTTTAACGAATTTAACTGTATTTTATTTATTTTTTTAAGGCCAATTAGGAACAAATAAATATAATTTATGTACGTATGTGAAAAACAGTGAAATATGGTTACATGTTTCTTTTTTTCTTTTCAAAAACAAATATAACTTGAATTTGGGCGGGTGGATCATCATTTGTGTGAAAGAGTGTTTGCGTGCTTCTTTGTAGCAACGGAGGATTCAAGAGATAGAATTTAGTTCTTACTGTGAACTGTGCCGCTGTTTGGAGCAGTCTCTTTGTAGTTTTCAGCGCGGTAGCTTTTTGAGTGTGGACGTGAATGGGATCTTGACTTCTGTGCATCTCATATCAAAATTTTGCATAATGACCCTCAATTGTTACACACAAAAACACACAAAATAATTATAAATAGAGTTTCTTTTTACGAATTCAACGATAAACGTCACATAAAAATACTATACACCATCAACTATAATATATAGAAAAGGGAAATATATTCTTTTACGAATAATGTGCTGCTTTTACTATGTGCTGCTTCTTTTCGGGACATGGGCAATCCTGGCTTTCCAAATCTTCCTATCCCTTGAGAACCTTAGTGTTTCTCCTTTTAACAAGACCCCCCCGCCCACGATCCACGGTCCCCGGTCCTCACACTTAAGCTTGTCAGTTAGGTGACTTGCTCTCTTCCTCTTGCCATTGTAGGAGTTAAGTTTTCCAAGTTTTTATTACGTGTCTAAGAAATTTCAGTTTTCTCTTTCTTACCCTGAGCATAAGTGTTCTTTTTGGAGCCATTTTCTTTAATACTGCATTATTGATTATTAGCTCCGTCCATTGAAATTCTCAGTATCCTGCTGTAGAACCAAATTAATGTTGATTCCAGTTTTCTCTTTTTCCGTGGGGAGATTGTGCAGCATTCACTGTCATGTAAGAGGACTGATCATCATTAGCTTGATTTTCTGTTCATTAAGCTGATAACAATACTATTATAAAATATATTTTTCTTCTTTTTGTGTCGTTTAATTTTTGGAGGTGAAAAACTTTAGCTCTCCACGCCCTCCTCTTTGATGTTGCTCTAAATAACTTTTGAGACTTTACCATATCTCTTTGTCCTTGTTTTGCAATCCATTCATGGAAATTCCTTAAACAGGTTACTCGATGTTTAACACTTCGTCTACTGTTTTCAAGTGAGTGTTAAATTATCTAGGCCATCTTTCCCCGTTATGTATCTCAGATTTTTAAGCTGTCTCTTTCTAGTTATAATTATAAAGTTTCGTGAAGTTCCTAATTTCCATAGAACTTTTTCCGTTGTTTGCGTCCTCACCATTCGTGATATGAACCATATGGTTCATATCTCTGTTGGTTCAGGTCTCGTCTTCATCTGTTAGGAGATTGTGCACCATTTACTACCATTTGAAGAGATTAGATGTTAAAAACTTAGTACGTTTTTTTTTTTAATTTCTTTCAGATCTTTTTATATTTCTTAATACAGTTTTTCTTCCTGTTTTTTGGAAGATATATTTTGTTATTCCAATGAAAGATTTAGTTGTCAAATTTTCCGTGATCTGTTATGATTGGGCTGGAAAAAAATTCGTGGCATTTTTAATTGAACCTCAAAGACAATATTTAGATAGTTTTACATAGATGTATTCAACCACATATGTGTCATTTTTTTCTGTTACCTTTTGCCGTCTTTGAAATAGATTCACGATTCCATTCTCCCAGATTTTCTGCTCCCCCCCTTTCCTTGTTTAAGCGTTCTTTCAATTTTCTTTCAAGTCTGACATCAGCACCGTATAATCTGCGTATCATATGTTGGTAAGATTATATTCACCAATAATAAATCCTGGAAAAAGATACTCACCAAGGCGTGAAGCGTTAAGCAAGAAATCTCGTTTGGTGCGCTGATAAATTGTCACTTCCTCTGATGTTTTCACCTAACATACATAATTCCATATAGAAATACATTGCAAAACATGTTTTTCCTGTGTTATAATTGAAGTTAGTTACTTGCTTGGGATGTGCGGGTAGCGTAGTGCTTATCGACGCGGAAAGTGAAGTCATCGTACCGAGTTCAAATTTCGGTCGTGTTCGTTGCGCAAATACCTTGGGGAAAACTTATGTATGTATTTTTCTCTCATACAGCTTAAGTAGAAAACAGAGCTGCCGAGGATAGGGATAATTCTGAATTCAAAATCGATTGGGCGTGCCGCTGGTAGCACCACCCTGCAAAATGTACTTACTACGGAAACCGCAACCGTAACATCTAGTGCGGTGAGGCTTATACACCACATGAATTGAGAAAAAAAAAGTCTCTTTCTCTTTCACTTCGTCAGGCAACCCTTGATATAGTTATATATCTAAATTGTTGACACATCGAAGGATGTCCACAAATCTCCTCTTTGTAAATTATGTACACGCACACACACACACATATATATATATGTATATATACATACATAAACGCAAGGAGTTACTGAGTATGAAAGAGTATAAGACAAAACATTATTAAGTCGAGAGAACAATAGAAGAAAAGGAATTAAGAAAGAAAATAATGATTGATTTGGTATTTAAATGTTTGAAGGTTAAAGTTGAGTGAAAAGCAAGAAGATGGAAGAGAGTTACACATGCGGGAAATGTGAGAAAAGAAACTCTTCGCATAGAACTTACAGTTACATCTCACAATTTTCAGTGCAAAATAATGAGACCTAAATGCCAATCTAGTACCATGCGTATATTCGTAGAGTCGAAGTACCAAAGAAGACGGTTCATCAGAACACTTACCATGAATATATATATATATATATATATATATATTTATATAATATTAGTGGTTAATATACACACATATATAGCGGCTCATTTATAAATGCTCTTCGATTTTAGTTGCCCCCCATCTTCCCCTTTTTTCGTTTCTTTCTTCCCTCTCTCTCATCTTCTGAATTTTAAGTTTAGATTATATCGTCTTTTATTGTGCGTAGTGTCAACACAAATGTTTATACCTGTTTCCGGTGTCGGTTTTTAATTTAATTTAGGTCAGCGATTCAGTAATGAATTATGCATAGGAAAATAATTCATATTTATCTGTATCTCACTCATTTAAACCATAATTTAAATCCTCTCTTTAAAACTTCTCTCTGTTAAATTTTAATCCCCACCTTCATTTTTATGTCTTCCTGTTCTTCTCTCGTCTGTTACCCCTGTCTAGAGCTTTCATTTACCTCTCACATTCGTCCCCCACTCTCATACATACACTCTCACTAAATTTTGTTTTTTATTCCCGGAGTTATTTTTTCCGATTTCTTTTGGAATTTGTAGGTCTGATGATCGTAATTACGATTCCAATGTAATAAATTATAACCATGGAATATTAGTGTTTAAGCCTTTTTATTATATATATATATATATATATATATATATATATATATAAGGTTATATATATATAAAGATAAAAAAAAACATTAAGCACCCATTGTAAAACAAGATCGTTAGTAAAAAAAATGATTAAGAATATCTTATAAAACCTTAAATCGTTCTTGTCTCTATAATCTCTACAAGAATATATATATATATATATATATATATATATATATATATATATATATATATATCTGTATATATATATATATATATATATATATTTTAGTCCTGTGTTTGATGATAAACTATATTCGTCAGTAAGACCTCTGATCGGGAATTTGATGGTTTTGAGATGCAGGGAAGCACCTCTTAATTGCTGTTGTTCCCAGGTTCCACACTGACCGTATTTTCCCATAGCTGTTAGGGTCCCAGCTATGGGCAAATAGTGAACCACAAACAAAAGCAAAACACTATGATAATATAAAAATACGGATTTATAGTAAAATCTCAATAAATACTTATTTATTCTACAATTACCAGTAATATATTTTTATAGTTAAATTACCAAAAATACATATTTATTGGAAAATGACCAACACCACATAATTATAGTAGAATTACCAACAATATGTTTTATAGCAAAATGACCAACAATACATTTTATCTATAGTTAAAGGCATAAGTATCAATGTTTATCTAGCCTTCCTATCCGCATAATCTTCACTTTCTACAACCCATTTTATTCCTATCACATACCTTATTCAGTAATCTTCTAACTTGAGGGTCTGCCTTTTATGGTGTGTATTCCTGTATAAAAATGTGCTTTACCCTTGTCCGCCACGTGTAAAATATGAAATCATTCTTAAAAACGAAATATTAAATTATATTAACGAGGTTCAAAGAAATCTTAGTTCAGAAAGTAACGTTTTCGTAATTTCCATTATTTGTTCAATAAATAAATAAATATATTTCCTTTACTTACCGAACCAATCAAAACAGCGTTTATGTAGTGCGTAGGTAAGGTGAAGGCCATCCCAAAAAGACTATTTTGGAACACAGCGCCAGCGACTTGAAACCGGAAATAGACGGAGAAATGTATAATCATTTACATTTTCTAAGAATGTATTATCAACACATCTGAGGATATACTCATTCCACGACATACACACACGCATACACAGACACTCCATTTACAATAAACTCACTTATATGTCATTTACATATTATGTGCATACGCTCAGTAGAAAAAAGATGGTTATATTCTGAGTTTGAAAAATTATTCTTGTAAATAACTTTGAAGAAAAATGAAAATAAATCGGAAACCGAAATAATATCCATATTTCTTCCTTCTTTTCCTGTTCCTTTGCTCGGCCAATAGATGCGTAATGTTTCCTTATAAGGAAACGGTTAATGTTACCATTATTATTAGAGAGGAAGAAAACAGATAGTACACTTTGATCCTAGCCCGTTCGCCAAGGAATGAGGAAAAGCTTAACTCGAGTTGCAATGTCTGCTGGGTAAATGAATGTGGAATATTTCTTTATGAGGTGATTTAAAAAATATATATATATTTCTAAAGAATTAATTTTTTTAACCCGGCATATTTATTACGTCAAACTTTATTCTAGTGGCTTTAACTAACTTTATATATGATCCAGTGTCAAGCTGATATAATGAATAAATGCTATCATATATATGTCTTTGTTCAACAGAAATTTCAAATAGGAAAACACGTGCCGCTAGACAATCCCCTTTGTAAATAGCTGCTTTTTCATATTTCTGTCTCTTCAACACCCACAGTCGTTGCCTGTGGCCTATACTGCAACTAGACCGAGCAGACCTTGCAGTTTCTTAGAGAGTGCGTTTCATCAAGGATGGGTTTCATCGGGCATGATCAAAACAAGGTCAGTTCGCTCAAACAGATGACGTGTGACGTCTTGCTTGCACAACCATCTACAGCCTCAAGTTTCATCTACTAAATTTTGCTCACATAATAAAAACTTGAAATAACCAGTGCTATGGTTTTCAGTCGCTTTTTAGAGTTAACGTACACTGGGATCATCTCCCCAGGTCAATGGCAGCAAGAAATCACCTTCATGACTAAGCAACACTGAATGAGGTTCGAACCCGTGTCTCATGGGCTGAATCAACGTAATGTTAGAAACTGCATGTTCGTTATATTTAATATATGATATTTGTTTGTCCGTAATAATGTTTTCATTAGAAATGCCATTTCTGCTTAATTACTATTTGAGATGATCAGAACTATTTTACCCTTGGAAATATGACATGTCACCTAAATGTGACTGGAAAGAAAAATTCTCAAAAACATTTCTCATCAGTGCAAATAAAAACATCATGGAATACTATCTGTGTAAACTGGTGCAAATAAACAATATATTATCGCAAAAATGTCGAAATCAGTTCTACAAGTTTTAACCCGTGAACATTTCACGTTTTTCCTATTTGAAATTTCTTTTGAATCTTAACTCTTCAATTAAAGATTGAATAAGCTCATGGCGTGCTCTACGACAATAAAATATCCGTAGGAATTTTCCTATCGCAATATTTGAGCTGAACAGCTTTAACAAAATATTGCAATATCAATCATAAATATGAATACCGGTCGTTATTTTAAGAAGTAAGGGGATACAAATGAAAAGATTTTAAATTGACAATTTTTTCCCATTTCACTGAAACAGATATGAGATGCTTCTTTTTCTCTTCTTTCTTTCATTTTCTGACTGAAACCAAGTAGCGTCTTTGATACGGCTTTTGTTTTCTCACGGGATCAAAGCGGAATAATCCATTATTTACAGGGTATAGGCAGGGTGATCGTGCGAACTAAGAAGCTAACGAAGGAAGGACGATAACAGTTATTATATAATTTTATACATCAATTCATCGAATAGGAAATGTTTTCCTACCCAGCTTTAGAACCGCCAGAAGCAAAACGATTTGTTAACAAAGAAAATCAATCTCATACTTACCGTTAGAGAAGATTATCGCCAACATACAAATCCAAGCAAACAGAGACAACCCTAGAAAATAATTTTATTTTGAAAATAAGCACACATGGATATCGTGTTAAGAAAAGCATCTTAATTTGAAAGTAAATCAATGTAACGCATACTTGTAACATTCTTGCGTAGTACCCATGAAAAATAACTGCATCATTTACGTATGCGCTATTAGCCTATGCATTCTAGAGACTTAATAAGAAGGAAGTGGTTTTCGGCCTTCTCTTTTGTGGGGGAAACCACCGTCTGATACGTCGTGGTTTAGACCGCTTAGTTTCTCGAACGCACACGCTGATAGGCGTAATCTATAGTTATAAAAAGCAGGGCGTCTACTCAAACATGGATATCCACAAAATAACTGGATGAATGTTAAGACATAAGCTAATCTGCAATTGTGTAATGCCTACAAAACGAAACTTCTTCTAAATAATCACATGAAAGATCTTTTCCTGCTTCCCATCAGCATGGCTGATGCTAACCTTCATGAGATTGACTCTTTGTGCCTGTTCCGCCTAATATTCTCGGCTGATATGAAGTGAAAAAACTATATTGAATCCATTCCCTGCTAAGAATGTCGGTTCATTGTGTCGTGATAGACAATTTTTCTCTCCTCAACCTTGCTTCCGGATGTAGTTCATCGTCATACCCAAGACTACGCATTGGTGGTGATGGTGGGAGTCTTACTTCTTTGAAGAGTTACAGTCGACGTATTCTACAGCCACCCAGCCAACATTGCATACAAGTGTGTGTATGCGTGAGATATTGTGTTTTGAGAAAGAACAGCGGAGTTTATGAGTGTGTACGCGCACGCTGGTGTGTATGTGTATATGAGTATAAGGGCTGTTGATTTCGTCAGGTTATAGGCTTTTGAGTATTTTCTTAGAATAAATACAATTTCTTCTAAAATATCTGATTACTTTTTAGTTCATAAATTCTAAACAGTGAGGTAGAAGTATTGAATAGTTAACATATGTAAGAACTCTATTAGCATTGAATTCCCGTAATTATATTTTTCAAAACATGAAAGTCTTTCACTAATTGTGTTGCTAAATCCAAAGTAGTGTTGTTTAGTGAGATGTGAGTAAACAACGTAAGTCTCAAGCAGAACTTCAATAGGATTTGAAGAGTGAAGAAAAGAGACCACTTAAAATGGCGTCTACTTACACTCCAGTGCGATGACCAAGGCGAACATCTGTGCAATGAGGGACATTGCAATCATTACGAGAGTCATGATAACCATTGGACGTCGTGAAACCATTCTGAAAAAAAAAATCAGCATTAATAAGAACGTAAATCAAATGATGTTTAATAGGATTTGTCACAGTTTTAAACGAGTAAAAGAAACGGTGCTTTTTTAACAGAGTTTGATATCTGGTTCACTGGTTGATAAATGCATAGCTTTTCCCGTATTTTGAGTTAGGTAAATGACTAATTAACTGGCGCGATATATAAAAAAGAAAGCATGATACCACTAACTGATGACAAAAGAATACACTGCGCCACAAACTGGCAAGTGCAGACGTGATATTTGGAAAATATCTAACATGACACTCACCGACACATATAAACGCGAAAACCACCAAAGAACACAATATCACACACACACACACACACACACACACACACACACACACACACACACACACACACACACACACACATATATATATATATATATATATACTTTGTAGTATACTTTACGAAATGTTTGATTGGTTGGTTTTGAGTTTGTTTTTACCGCATCTACAAAAGGACGTCAAAAATTCAATTCGTTTGCAGATTCTAAGTTTAGCACCTGCTCGTTCTTAATTTATGTATATAAGCACGTAAAAAATACTGTATGCGGTATCTCCTACGATGAAATATACATATATATATATATATATATATATATATATATATGCTTTTAAAATAGGATAGAAATCAAGATTAGGTTTTATATTTGACAAATTGAAAAATTTATACATATAGGTTTTTATATATATATATATATATATATATATATATATATATATATATATATATATATATATATATATATATATATATTTTTTAAAAATTCAAACGCAAAAAATATGGTATACACTTCTAGACGGTACAAAATTGCAATATCAGGAAGCAAATTAAACGCAGCAGCTTGCCTCGATTTTTTTCCAATCTTTAGACATTTGGATTACTATTCTAAACATTTTAAAATTTTTTGCAAACAAATTCGCAATAAATATTCTTATTGAAACTACACTGACAGAAGATAAAATTGTAACATCATAAAGCGCAATGTCCTTGCTGAAGGGCATTAGATATCAACATAAATATCTCGTGTTTCAAAACTAGTAACATTCATTCAAGTATACTGTCTGTGCTTGTCTGAAAGTTGCTGCAATGAGATTCAGCGTAGTAAAAGTTCCATGCAAGCCAGTGCAATATCGCTGAGACAAAAACATACTCCTGTTCAATTACGACTATTTGAAAAGGGTCGCAATGTGAGTATTCGAGTGGATTGATGGCAATCATCATTTGAAATTGGCTAGATATAACCGCAAATACTATGCTAACAGCGTTTTTCTCGCACACGGGAGTATGTTCTACCTTCAGGCAAGTGATGTTCGCTTGCTTTTGCGTTTGCGACATAGCCATCTGCTAAAATGTATTCGTCCTCAACGGCACACCTAAGACAATCAGAGGGTTCTATAAGTTATAATACTTACTCACTTTTGTCTTGTGTGGATGTAAAGTTCAACAATCGGTCAATCTGCGTTGTTGTATTTCAAATGAAAGATTTATTAAAAGACCAAGAAATGAATCATGAAACTGGACTCTCAGAAATGAAACTGCTCTCTTTTGATCATCTGAGAGAACACGTTCTAACTTCCATAAGCAGGGCTGATGCTAACCTCCAGGAGAGTGACTCATTGCGTCTACTCGGACTAACGTTTTCAGTTGACATGGAGTGAAAAGAATCAACTGCCAAGTCTGCAGCTAAGAAAGTTCGTCAACTAATACGCGCCAGACTCTTTTACAGGCCAGTATCTATATTAGAGATTTATAAATCTACCATTCGTCCTTGATTTGAATATTGCAGCCACATTTGTTCTGGTGATCCTATTTAGAGATTCTTGTAAAAATCCGAAGAAGAATTTGCAATGTCTGGCATCTCGTAACGTAGCTTCCCTGTGTCTTTTCTATAAATAATTGTTCGGATGAACTTTCTTCTATGGCACATAGACTTTGTAATTTTACCGGCAGCGCTAGATAGGCGGCAGGGTCTCATCAATTTACAGTTGAAATGGCTAGATGGGACGGTAATTTTTATGCTGGCTGTTTTTTCCATCACACTTCTCGGTTGTGGAGCTCTCTTCCCGCTTCTTGCTTCCCAATCAAGTTTGATATACAAAAATTTAAATACAATGTCAATTGTTATCTTCTGTTTTCTTATTTTATATTCTCTTATTGTCCTCACTTCTTAATAGTAGTTTTTCTCATATTCTTTAAACATTCAGTAACCTCTTGCTTCTTAGTGGCGTTATTGCCTTACTTGGGGTGAAATGATTAAAAAAAAAGACTACTTACTTGCCGAAGAAGACTGGATTCTTATGAAAGAAGTATGTATTCACGCAGACAATGAGGATGACTGGAATCTTGGAAGATAGAATTAAATAAGGCAGAAATGAAGATGCACTCTCTGTGTCAACGCCTGTGACATTGCTATATATTTCCAAAGTGTCCGGAAGATACTGGCAAAAATATAGTGGCAGAAAAATAACAGTTTTAAAAGGCAATCATGTAGTTAATTTCTCTGGACTGATATACTAAATTAACAGGAGGAAGGAAAAACAAGACAGAAGTAAAGAAAAAGGGAGAGGAATAAAAGAAAAATAACGTGAAATTGTCTTCACTTATTAAGAACTTTTTGTTCTGAAAAGATGAATATATATAAATATTCACGAAATAAATTATAACCAAAATCGATCTTTAAGGTTTTCTTCTCGATTTATTATTATTATAATGCTCTGTAATTTACATTGAGCTCTCTCTGGATTACTATCCTCCTTAGAATTATCCCTGCCTGTTACAAATTGGTAATATTTATAACTGCTCCTTATATCCATAAGTTGATCTTTCTTTGGAATATTCCTTTTGGATTACCTTAATTATCTACGTTTTTACCACCAAATGGATAAATTTACTCCGGACTATTCCCTGTGAAAACATTAGCTATCCATATTTGCATTCTTTCATCCAATCGCTCACAGATACAATAATCGACCTGATAAAAAGTTTACGACGGAAAACATACTTTAATTTACCCACCCCCCACCGAAAAACTAAATTGCCAAAAGAAAAAAATATACTCTGAAATCTCAAAATACTTCACCTAGTAACAAACGTCTAGATCCTTTCGAAGCTGAGATGTTTAACTTAAAAAATACATTTAGAAAACCATCCAACCAATTCCGATACAAATTAAACGAAAACATTAGAAGCATCAGAAATTCTAAGATTAAAGAATTTCTTGATTAAAGCCGATGAGTCTAAAAATGTTTACAAAATTAATCCCTCGAACAATCACAAATTCCTCTTTAGTAAAATAACTAGTACTTATAAAAGTCACCCAAACTCACGAATTAATTAAATTCCTAACAATGTAAACACTAGAATACATAAATTATCGTCTAACAAAAATATTTTATGAGAACAAATTAAATCTCAGCTCTCAGGAAGAATAATTTCAAACAAAAATTAATTTACCACGATTCGTTGAAAAATAATAAAACGGGTGGAACCACAAACAGGAAAAGAAAGACAATACCTCCTTTCTGTAAACTATCCAATGTAAATATTGGTAGATAGTTTTTAAACTCAATCGACAAAAACTTTAATCACAATAACCAACTACAAAAAAATTTTCAATAGAAAATAAAATTAAACAGAAATTAGTTATTCCTGCACCAAAAACACACGGAACATTATTAACACACACACAACACCAAATAGTAAAAGCATTTTATGACGGCAAAATAACAGAAAACAATGCCTCTTGTAATTGCAGAACCGAGACCAACTGCCCAGTTGGCGGTATCTATAATTCGGAAAAATGGTAGCTTTGATAAACAAATATACATTGGTATATCCTCTGGGAATTAGAACCAGAGACTCTACAGTCACAGACATTCCTTCTCCAATGCTTCCTTAAGACACCAAACCGCTCTATCTAAGCATTATTTCAGGATTAAAGATAGAGGCTTCACCGCAACAATTAAATGAAGTTTCAATTTTTGGTCTCAAACTGCCAACAACCTTCAGGACAGATGTAGTCTTTTACAAGAAAATTTCAATGATCAAACGTTGACCAGAATTGAATCAAAGAAAAGAAGTTATTTTCAAGTATAGACATAAGAACAATTTAAAAATTTCCAAGAAACGTTGACTTTGGAGAATATACACTTGAAATGTTGGTTCTATTATACACACACATCACATACACACACACACACACACACACACACACACACACACACACACACATATATATATATATATATATATATATATATATATATATATATATATATATATATCTGTGTGTGATTATATTGCATATCACGCGATTTGGGTTGGATCTATGTTTGTTTTGCCGATGTATACATCATCCATAATTCTAAATTAACATCTTTAGTATCATTATCTATACATCAATTTACTTATATTTCTTAATTTTTATATTACCTTTTATTATTCTTTATTAAAAATCCCTTTCAATTATTTTAAATAATTCATTTATGTTTGATATTATTATTATTAAGGTCTTCTTTTTTAGACTAATAAAATTGAATTTGTGTTGATTTGTTTAACAGGCCATATCGGTCAATTTGCTGCATCACTCGATGTAAAAATTTCCAAACTTTAAGTAAAACATTCTTGGTCGGGTCATTCTATTTTAGTCTTATTACTATCCCTTAATTTCTTCCTTCTTCCCTTCCCTTCTATTACATACACACTCTCCCTTCTCTCTCTCTCCCTATTTCACGTTTTGAAAAAGAACTTTATAATTTTTTATTTTTCTTTTTTCCTCTCACTCTTTCTTCTCTTCTCTCTTGCTTTCTCTTCCTCCTGTTAATCTTGTATATCACATCAGAGAAATTGTCTCTATTTATTAAGAACTTTTAGTCTGAAGAGGTGAATATATAGAAATATTCACGAAATAAATTATAACCAAAATGGATCTTCAAGGTTTTCTACTTGATTTATTATTATTATTATTATTATTATTATTATTATTATTATTGTTATTATTATTATATCTTTATTTTTGGGCTTCGTTCGAATCTTGCAGTAGCCTAATATACGAAACTGGTTTGTAAGCAGTTAGTATTTAGTGTCCATTTAGGCTTTATTCTGCAATTACACGGTAGTTTTTTGCGGATTTGTGTGTACTTTTGATATACTTTTGTAATTTTTCTGATGTTTGTATAGCCTGCAGCATATTTAAAAGAAAAAGAAACGTTACATTATTTAATCTGTCTTAAACAAAAATATGTCCAAATATTTATAAAATAGGGACAATTTGAAATTCAGCTGTATCTGCAGTTAAAATTTACTCCAACCATAAACGACACAGCAGTTTCTTTGACTACACGCCAAGTGATAGATTGAGGTACAGAAACTTTATACTGGGACCAGTGTTACTATGACGAAACATGCTCGATGTATCAATATATCTACTATCCTTTTTGATGGTATCAAACTACGGGGTGTCCATAATGTCTCTTTAAAATTTAAAAAAAATATTACAAAAGCAAATGAACAAATATGCGGAAATTATTACAAAATGAGGACTAGATATTGAAGTTTTTAATTAATTTAATATTCTTCTATATGGCCACCATTAGTTTCAAGAAGTACATCATGACAGTACTCGATTTCTTGCCATGTTCGCTGTCATCAATGGTGGCAATGGCATCTACTATCTACTGTTGTGATCTTTTAGATCACTGATGTCCCGTATCTTTGTTCGATACATAATATCTTTGACATAACCCCATAGAATGAAGTCCAGGGGAGTGATATCTGGTGAACGAGGTGGCCAGAGAATTGGGCCATCACTTCTAATCCATTGGTCTGGAAATGTTTGATTTAGGAACTTAATAATATGTAGTCCCCAATATCGTGGTGCACTATCTTGCTGGAAAATAATGGTTTGTTGAAGGTCATCTTGTTGTGGTGCCACATCAATTAACTTTGCAATATATTTTTTTAAATGTAAAGAGACTTTACTGACACCCTGAAAGTATTTTGATTTCAAGTAATATCCTCACGGAAATACAACCAAATAGACTTATAATCCAAATCATCATTTATCACTGTGAGAGTTTTAGAGAAGATCCGGGCATGGTCAACATAAATCCTTACCTTAAAACAGAGCCAAAGAAAAATATATATTTATTCATCGTCTTTAATACTAAATAGTCGTGGTAAAAAATGGGCTGTCCATCACCATTTTGAGTTATGATCATAACTCCACAGGGGATGGTGGGGGTACGTCAGAAACTCAAGTTAAAACAACATTTGTATACATTCATTATTGACACGAATCTGTTTAGTGGCTGCGGTAAATGTATGTTTACCACCTATACCCCCGGGCATTGTTCTGAGACATAAAAAGCCAGAAAACTAGAAGATTGACAAAACAATATTTTCTTCTACACAATTTCTATCGAGTCAATGCTTGACAATATAAGCTTTGTAAAAATCTATGCATTCTGATATATCGCTTGGACGTGTCTATGCATGTATACAAAGATGCATACTGTGCAGCGTATATAAGCACGTGTATGCAGACAACAATAGAACAAAAATGCGTTTTGAAATTAGTTTAATTCTATTTAGTTTGATATTGATTTTAGACTCTCTAGTGAAATCTTGATAAGAACTCATCGATTTACGTTTGAGCTGACTAAATGTAGCCGTAAATTCTATGCTAACAATTTCTTTTCTCGAACTTCTCGTTTTTGGAACTACTTTCTGGCTCCATGCTTTCCAGCTAACTTTAATCTGCAATGTCAATCGCTATCTACTGTCTTTCTGATTTTTCTTTCATCCTCAAGCTCATTATTAATGTTTATGTTTCCAATACTTCCACACCCTGTAACCCCTCGTGGCTTAGTGGCTTTCCTGCCTTGCATGGGGTGATACTGATAAAAACAGAACTTTTGAAGATAATCACAGTTAATCATATTCGGGAACCGTCAAAAATCCATCGAATAAGTAAGTCCAAGTGCATTCGAGTACAGTCGTTTCTCTTTTAAAGATCGGGTTCAGTTTCAATCACCTGATCGCTAAACGAGGTGGCTGCTAAGTAATAAGTTGTAATTAACCGTTGTTTCACGCATTTACTCTTGTAAGTGCTTACTGTGGAGGCACGGTGGAGTAATGAATAGCGTCTCGGACTGAGAGCCGAGTTCGAATTCCAGTCGAATCCATTACATGCTAATACCCTTGGGAAAAAGTATGAATCCTCTTCTCCGGTTTCTATAGCCTTGAATAGCAACTGGTCTAGCGCAGAAAGAAATGGCAACCTACTGCAGAAAAATATCTGCCTCGTCAGTCATGTATTAGAAAATATCACGCATGGCACATAACTGACTGAAATGCTTACTAACTGACTGATTTGTTTTTTTACGGCTCATCAACATTTTGCAGGTTATTTAAAACTTGAAAATATTTAAAACTTGAAAATATTTAAAACTTGAAAATATTTTTTTTTAGACTGTAAGAATTTTTGGAGGAGGTAATAATTTACTGATACAAGTCGTACTAATAAACCCGTAACTGATGGGAATAGGGAAGTGGTGGATTCATGCCTTTCCCAAGGGTCCTTGCGGGTAAGTGAATATAACGAACTTGACTGCAAGTTTCAAATCTCGAACCATTATCCATTACACCACCAGCACATCAAAGTTTACAGCACGTGGTATTCTGAAACGGTCGCCATCCAGGTAATAGCCAGGTTCAACGTTGCTATCAGCCTAATAGGTTTGTGTCAACCAGCTTCAGATAACTTCAGTGTCATTCTTGCACCATTTCTAACATTTGTAATTTATTTCGAAATGTTTATTCCAGTGTTTCTCAACCGTTGTTCAATGGAACACTAGGATTCCGCAAGAGGTCGCTAGGAGTTCTGCGAGAAAAAGTCATAAACAGGTTAATGCCTTTTGTGTAATTGTTGTTTAATTTTATATTCGTAAATTTACTATACACCTAACGTATATTGTTGGAAAATCCTTGGTTATTATAATAAAGGCATTCAATCTCTTATATTATTTAAAATTGTAATAATCCTAGAGAATGTATTTTTGATGCCTATGTGGCGTCATCTTTTTAAGTGATCAGGGCCTGTACGTGACGGATTCGTGAATCATTGTGTAACTCACTCGAGAACAGGAAGAGTGTCCGTATATTATGTTTACCACGTGATCTTTAAAAAAAAATACCGGAGCGCTAAAGAGAACCGACCATTTTTCCAGCATCTTTAGCGATGGATCGTATGTATGTGTTTCATTTGACGTCTGGTTTGACTTTAAGGCCCGATAGTCGCCCAAGTTATGGGATCTCCCGGAAGAAGCATCCATTCATCGTGATTGGTGATAGTTCAGGGTCCGATCGTCGATGATGAAATGTAACTAGTTTGTTAGGCATTGAATGTAAACAAGCAGTCCCTCCCCCATTGAGATAATAGAGCTCGGTCAGAGGAAAGATCATCTAGAGTTCCGCGAGAAAATAGGCTAATGCATTTTTGAATAATTGTTTAATTTTGTATTCGTAAGTTTACTATACACGTAAGGCATATTGTTGGAGAATCCTTGGCTATTATAATAAAGGCTTCAACCTCTTATATTACTTAAAATTATAATAATCATAGGGAATCTATTTAACGATGTCTATATGTTGTCAGTGTGAAACGGTCTTGACGTTTGAGTTGAGTTTACGGCGCAATAGTCCCTCAAGGCAAGGGACCGCCCGGATGGAACATTCATTGTACCATCGTGATTGGTGATAGTTCAGGGTTCGATCGGCGATGATAGAATGTAACTAGTTTGTTTTTGGAGGCATTGTTTTTTCCTCTATTGAGATGTTAGAGCTCGATCAGAGGAAAGATCAGCTGACAATCTCTGGTCATCTAGAGTTCCGCGAGAAAGTAATCAAATGGATTTTTGAATAATTGTTGTTTAATTTGGTATTCGTAAGCTTACTATACGCGCAAGCCATATTGTTGGAAAATCCTTGTTTATTACAATAAAGATTTCAACCTCTTAGTTAAAATTATTACGACTATAAGGAATCTATTTAGCGATGTCTATAAGGTGTCAGTGTGAAACCGCTTTCATTGGTCAATGGACAAGACCTGTACGTGGCGGATTTGTGTATTACTGGGTGATACAATGACAGGGCGAGTGTCCATATATTATGTTTACCTTGTGAACTACGATAAAAGTTAGATATTAATAATGGTATATGATTATTTTATACAGGGATTCCCTGAGACAGGCAAAGTATTTCAAGGATTCTACATAGGTAAAAAGGTTAAGAAACGCTGATCTATGCAACACAACAGTCTACGGGAAAGTAAACATAATAAACAAATTTGAAAATCAACTCTATATTCTGTACAGTAATTTTTGTTTATTTTTTGCTTTATTTATTCATTTTAAAGAAGTAAAAATCAATCACTAACAAAGTTTTCATACAACGTACAATACCGACTGGTTGGATATTTTCAATATTTCAATTTTTGTGACATTTTATAGCTGGCTGTAAATTCAAGGTCACAAAACAGGTGAGCCATTAAGTGAGGAGTTGCTGTATTTACACTACAAAGCAAACCTCGTAGGAGACAAAAAAAAGGTACATCTTACCGTATAGACTACAATTAATATATTATACGGAAGTGTCGAACACATCCCTAACATAACCATCATTGTCCATACACAGCGCCACCTGCAAAAATATGACAGACGGAAAGACAAGATTAGACTTTCAGTTATAAATTATACAATTCAGCCTATACATAAACTAAGTTAAACTTTTCTTATAGTGTGAGTTGCTTTGTGCGATATAATAGTTACACTTCATGATTCTTTCTTATAAAACCGAAGAGAATATCATTTAAGAAGTTAGAGTAAGATTAAAATATAGTCGAAATTCCAGTTACTTTAGTGTTAATTGTCAAAGCAGATATAAATGATAAGCCTGTCTTGTTTATATTATATACATTTGGACTAATATAATCATCTTGGTTGCTATTATGTCAATGCTTAGACATGCAAAATGCTATTAGAAAATGCGTTCGGATAAATATAGCAGAGCCATCTTTTAAAGGATCTTACAGTATAAATAAATATAAGGATTTGAAATAGTAATAGAAAAAGGACTAGTGTTATACTTATAATTGGAGCCCCGCGTATTCTGAAAAAAGGGACAGAGAAGAATGTCAACAAGAACCGTGGCAGTTCCTGTCTACAAGAGATTTAAAATATTGCACTGTGTGGAACTATTCATCAAATCAGGAGAATATTATCAATAAAGAGAAGATATAAACATTGTACAAATTGAGTATGACTTAACAGTAGAATTTATACAAACAAAATACATATTTACTACATTACCTGAGGTCACCGGTAAATGACCAGATTTAGGGACTGTACCACGTAGAAAGCAAATAATAATAATAATAATAATAATAATAATAATAATAATAATAATGAGAAGAAGTTGTCGCGTATGATCCTCATCGTCGTCGGCAGCAGTCGTGTCCGACTTGGTTCATTCGGTGCCTCCACGATACCTGAACACGGCTCAAGAGGTCAACTCGGAAATGGAACTTTCTCGGGCATTGTTCACATTGGCAGGGAGGGTGACGGTCTTGGCTGGAGCTACTTGGCTCTCAGGATGCCTTAATTTTTACTTTCTCTTCAGTTTTATCCTCTCCTCGAAAGTGGAATAACCGAAAATAAAGACGGACGGTCAGTGACTTCTGTTTCTCAGGTGTCAGGGCTTGAAGGAGGGAAAATTCAATTGAAATCTTCTCCCCTTCAAGCCGGTAAGTCATTGAATCTGCGTTTCGGGGCTTTGCGATATCGTTTGCCGTTGACGAGCTGACTGTAAAGGATGGTCTGCGGGAGTCTTGACAGTGCCTTTCGGGTGACATGTCCCTGACAACCCGAGGCAATGCATGAGGATTGCGGCTCCAATGCTCGGCATTTTTTGAACGATTGAGGACTTCGTTGTTGGTGTGTTGGTCCTGCCATTTGATATTGAGGATTTATCGGAGCTTGCCTTGTTGGAAACATTCGAGCTTTTTAAAGTCTTTTTGATACAGGGTTCTTGTCTCGCAAGCGTAGAAACGGCGCGGAACACCATGAGTTTTTTCAGAAGGAATAGTAAAAATAAATTATTTGTGACTTTGAAATTCAAACGAATCACAAGCTACAAAAACAAACCTCGTCCATCGTAAACTAAAAACATAATGGATATCGTTGGAAGACATTGAAAAAGTAGAAGTACATTTATATTTATCCAAGAAGGCGAAAGCTTTGGGTGCTATCAAGTAGATAGCCGTATTCATCTTTGAAATAAACACGAAGAACTCTGTTAAAAAAAAAAAAGAGTTACACAAATCTGAGATTCATGCTAGAAAAAACTATCCAGCAATACTAAAATACTTACGAATAGATAATTGAATATTGGTGCATTACGTTGCTCGTAATTCAGCGAAAGGAACTAAATGTTTATTCATGTGCTGTGTCCCTTCAGGACGTTGACAATCATGGCTCTCCTCAATTCCCTATCCTTTGTAGCTCTTAATATAATATATTTTTTGTTATCTCTCCTAAACCTTGTCCCGTCATCCATTTACTCAAGCTTGTTTCTTCTTCTTCTTCTTCTTCTTCTTCTTCTATGTGCGGTCTTCCTTCAGGATTTTGGTTATCATGGCTCTCCACAATTTCCTGTCCTTTGTAGCTCTTAATAAATTTTGTGTTTTTGTTATCTGTCCTAAACCTTGTTCCGCCATTCATTTACTCAAACTCGATTTTCTTCTTTTATGTACCCTGTCTCTTCAAGACGTTAACGATCATGACTCTCCACAATTTCCTGTCCTTTGTAGCTCTTAATAAATTTTGTGTTTTTGTTATCTGTCCTAAACCTTGTTCCGCCATTCATTTACTCAAACTCGATTTTCGATTTTTCTTTTATGTACCCTGTCTCTTCAAGACGTTAACAATCATGACTCTCCACAATTTCCTGTCCTTTGTAGCTCTTAATAAATTTTGTGTTTTTGTTATCTGTCCTAAACCTTGTTCCGCCATTCATTTACTCAAACTCGATTTTCTTCTTTTATGTACCCTGTCTCTTCAAGACGTTAACAATCATGACTCTCCACAATTTCCTGTCCTTTGTAGGTCTTAATAAATTTTGTTTTTGTTATCTTTCCTAAACCTTGTTCCACCATCCATTCCGTTTGTTGTTTTCCTCTTTTTTTTACTTTCAATCTGTCCTTGTGTGCGCTAGAAATTTCAATGCTAAAGGAGGTTAAAATTAATATATTATAATGATATATTTAATACGATTTTTCTATCTATTGTCTTTATACATATATTATGATTATTTTTATACTAGAATTCTCAAGTAGATTTAGCTTGTGGGCAAATAATTTTAACCAATGCAATCCTCCATTCGTTTTTATACCCTTATTTGCTTCGAGCTATTTCAGTTTCAAATATTTCTGTTCTTTTCCGATTCGAATTTATTTTGCATTTTTTTATACTCAGAAGATTTTATTAAAAAAACACGAAGTAGATATATGAACACGCTTAACCGAAAAAGAAAATTCTTACCTGTCGCTGGGTGAATTCACTGAGCAAATTTCTCTCGATCCTATAGGGAATTCCTCTAACTGACCTTCAACATTGATTTGAGCAATCAGAAATGATTCTTTGTGTTTCTTTTCTTGCTTGCCTTCAGATATATCCACTAATAAAAGAAAATAAACGTAATATTCAAACACAGAAAAAATGGTTATTAATATTTAACTGGTTATTATCAAGGAAGTGTTTAGTACATATAGAGAGGTTAATATTAAGAAAGTATGCTTAATATTGTTATTTCTCTAAACATATTAGAAATTACTAACTTTTTTTTACGAATGTAGTTGCTATCAGATAAGCTTTATATACGCAGATGACACTCGATGGCAGACTCAAAAAGAAAACTGAATGATTTTCTGGAAAAAGTAGCAACGCAAACCAAGAAGAAAGGACTCGCCATGAGCGGCCAGAAGACAGAATGCGTAGTCCTGAGCAAAAATGACAGCTAAAGGAGTAAGCTTCGAATTGGAGATCAAACAGAAATTTAACTGGGATTAATTTTAATAGAAGACTGAAAATGTCAGACAGAAATCTGTGGACGCATTGGATTATCGAAAGAGGCCTTTCAGAAGTTAAGTAAAGTATTAACAGATAAGAATATTTCATTAGCAACAAAGAAAATATGCTAAGTCATATCGATCCTCCTATATAGTCGTGAATACTGGAAAC